TTTTTTTTTTTCTATTCTTCCTTAATGAGAGGCAACTCAGTGATAACTTGGCTCATGATGGAAGGAACCTAGGCTCGATTCTTAGGCAGGGTAAGACTCCTGAGCAAGTCACCTTGCATATGCTGCCTTTGTTCACTTAACAGCAAATGAGCACCCTGGTGTTAGACGACTCTTGTGGGTCGACACCAGCGAAAACAGGGAAGAGCAGGGAGTAGATTTTTTCAACTAAGGTAGGATAACAGTTCTCGGCCTGTAATGGACGGAGGAAACTTAACATTTATTGGAAAAACGTGATATCCTGGAGACGAAATGTGACTGTAGCAGCTATGGAGAGTCATGTTCTTCTTGTAGGCAAGGCAGCCAAAGACATACACCACTAAGGCGTATATTGTTCTCAAATGACAGCAAAGGCTGAACAACTTTATGCAGTTCAATACTCTATACATCTCTATACTGCTTGGGGTAATAGTAGGTATTCATGTTTGATTCAAGGCAAGGGGGGATCAAATTTCTTGGATCAAAAGTCCCTCATCAGCTTCAAATAAAACTGAGTAGAGAGCGGGTTTAGTGTTATGCCCAATCAAATAGGTAAGACTTGCGATTTTGGCTTAAAAAGCAACGCTCTTCTTGCCGAAAAAGACTAGCTAAAATTTGCGTATGCAATAATTTCAAATAAATCATTCTGAACCTAACTAAAACAATATATTTCACTGTGTTCGTTTATTATTAAATTATTGCAAACTTATCTAAAATATATTTAGTTGGATTAGGTACGTTTTCTAAGGTTATTTCGGTACAAAATTATTAATTTTTACATTAACATAAATAAAAAATATATCTTTAAACGTATAAGAGAAAATTTTAGAAAGGACTTAATTTTAAATGAGTTCTTGCTAACTGACCAATTTTACCTATTCGATACGATATATGTATATATATATATAATATATATATATATATATATATATATATATATATATATATATATATATATATATACATATATATATATGTCGTGCCGAATATGTAAAACTGGTCAATTAGCAAGAACTCATTTAAAATTAAGTCCTTTTTAAAAAATTTTCTTATACGTTTAAAGATATGTATTTTTCATTTATGTTAATGTAAGAATTTATAATTTGCACCAAAAGAATCTTAGAAAACTTACCTAACCTTATTATAACAAGCTCAATTTATTTTAGCCTAATCCGACTAAATATATTTTAAAAACGTTTACACTAATTTAATACTAAACAAACACAATGAAATATATTTTTTTCGTTAGGTTTAGAATGATTCTGGCGAAATTATTGCATACACAAATTTTCGCTTGTCCTATATGGCAAGATGAGCGTTGCTATTTAAGCCAAGATCGCAAGTTCTGCCTATTCGGCACGACATATATATATATATATATATATATATTATATATATATATATATATATATATATATATATATATATATATATATATATATATATATATATATTTATATATATATATACATATAATTTTTTTTAACAAGTCGGCCGTCTCCCACCGAGGCAGGGTGACCCAAAAAGAAAGAAAATCCCAAAAAAGAAAATACTTTCATCATCATTCAACACTTTCACCTCATACATAACCACTGTTTTTGTAGAGGTGCTTAGAACACAACAGTTTAGAAGCATATACGTATAAAGATACATACCCCTCCAAACTGCCAATGTCCCAAACCCCTCCTTTAAAGTGCAGGCATTGTACTTCCCATTTCCAGGACTCAAGTCCGGCTATATAAAAATAACCGGTTTTCCTGAATCCCTTCACTAAATATTACCCTGCTTACACTCCAACAGCTCGACAGGTCCCAAATACCATTCGTCTCCTTTCACTCCTATCTAACACGCTCCCGCACGCTTGCTGGAAGTCCAAACCACTCACCCACAAAATCTCCTTTACCCCCTCCCACCAACCTTTTCGAGGACGACCCCTACCCAGCCTTCCTTCTCCTACATTACTCTCCATGTCATTCTACTTTGATCCATTCTCTCTAAATGACCAAACCATCTAAACAACCCCTCTTCAGCCCTCTCACTAATACTTTTATTAACTCCTCACCTTCTCCTAATTTCCACACTTCGAATTCTCTGCATAATATTTACACAACTCTTAGACAGGACATCTCCACTGCCTCCAATCGCCTCCTCGCTGCAGCATATAGAACTCATGCTTCACACCCATATAAGAGTGTTGGTACCACTATACTTTCATACATTCCCTTCTTTGCCTCCATATATAATGTTTTTTTGTCTCCACATATACCTCAATGCACCATTCACCTTTTTTCCCTCATCAATTCTATGGTTAACCTCATCCTTCATAAATCCATCCGCTGACATATCAACTCCCAAATATCTGAAAACATTCACTTCTTCCATACTCCTTCTCTCCAATGTGATATCCAATTTTTCTTTATCTAAATCATTTGATATCCTCATCATCTTACTCTTATCTATGTTCACTTTCAACTTTCTACCTTTACACACCCTCCCAAACTCGTCCACTAACCTTTGTAACTTTTCTTTAGAATCACCCATAAGCACAGTATCATCAGCAAAAAGTAACTGCGTCAACTCCCATTTTGTATTTGATTCCCTATAATTTAATCCCAGACCTCTCCCCAACACCCTAGCATTTACTTCTTTTACAACCCCATCTATAAATATATTAAACAACCATGGTGACATTACACATCCCTGTCTAAGTCATACTTTTACCGGGAAGTAGTCCCCCTCTTTTCTACACACCCTAACCTGAGACTCACTATCCTCATAAAAACTCTTTACAGCATTTATTAACTTACTACCTATTCCATATACTTGCAACATCTGCCACATTGCTTCACTATCCACTCTATCATATGCCTTTTCTAAATCCATAAATGCAATATAAACTTCCCTACCTTTATCTAAATACTGCTCACATATATGCTTCAATGTAAACACTTGATCTACACATCCCTTACCCACTCTTAAACCTCCTTGCTCATCTGCAATCCTACTCTCTGTCTTACCTCTAATTCCTTCAATAATAACCCTATCATACATTTTTCTTGGTATACTCAGTAAACTTATCCCCCTATAATTTTTACAATCTCTTTTGCCCCCCTTCCCTTTATATAAAGGGAAGGGGGACAATCCCTAGGTACCTTCCCCTCTTCCATACATTTATTAAACACAAATACCAGCCACTCCAACACTATATCTCCCCCTGCTTTTAACATTTCTGTCATGATCCCGTCAGTTCCAGTTGCTTTACCCCCTTTCATTCTGCGTAATGCCTCACGCACCTCCCCCACACTGAGATCATGCTCTTGTTCACTCCTAAAAGATGGTATACCTCCCTGGCCAGTGCATGAAATGATCGCCTCCCTTTCTTCGTCGACATTTAAAAGTTCCTCATAATATTTTCGTCATCTACCCAACACCTGCTCCCCATCTACTACTCCCCTACTCTGTTTTTAACTGACAAATCCATTTGTTCCCTAGGCTTTCTTAATTCGTAAATGTTACTCTGTTCACACTCCAGCAGCACGTCAAGTCATATAAGCCATTCGTCTGCACCCACTCCTATGTAACACGCTCACACACGCTTGCTGGAAGTCCAAGTCCATTTCACACAAAACCTCCTTTACCTCCTCCCTCCAACCTTTTCTAGAACGACCCCTACCCCGCCTTCTTTCCATTACAGATTTATATGCCCTCCAAGTCATTCTAGTTTGTTTCATTCTCTCTAAATGTCCAAACCACCTCAACAACCCTTCTTGTGCCCTTTGGATAATACTCTTTGAAACCCCGGACCTACTAATCTCAAAGCTACAGATTCTTTGCATTATATTTACACAGCACATTGCCCTCAGACACGACATTTCCACTGCCTCCAGCCTCCTCTTTGCTGCAACATTCACAACCCATGCTTTACACCAATATAAGAGCGTTGGTTCCACTATACTCTTTACTACCATGGATAACGTTGTCTCCACAGACTCCTCAATGCTCCCCTAACCTTTTTTTCTCCCCTCATCAATTTTATGATTCACCTATCCTTTCATAGACCCATCTACTGACAAGTCCACTCCCAAATATCTGAATACATTCTCTTTCTCCATACTCCCTCCCTCCAATCTGATATACAATCTTTCATTACCTATTTTATGTTATCCTCATCACCTTACTCTTTCCTACACTCACTTTTAATTTCCTTCGTTTACATACCCTACCAAACTTGTCCACTAACCTCTGCGACTTCCCTTCAGAATCTTCCAAAAGCACAGTGTCATCAGCAAAATGAAGCTGCGACAACACCCGAGCATTCACTTCTCTTACAACCCCATATATAAATATATTGAACAACCATGGTGACATCATGCATCCCTGTCTAAGGCCTACTTTTGCAGGGAAATAATCTCCCTCTCTCATACATACTCTAACCTGAGCCTCACTATCCTTGTAAAAACTCTAAACTGCTTTCAGTAGCCTTCCACCTATTCCATACATTTGAAACATCTGTCACATTGCTCTCCTATCCACCTTATCATATGCCTTTTCCAAATCTATAAATACAACGAAAACCTCTTTACCCTTGTCTGAATACTGTTCACCAATATGCTTTACTGTAAATACCTGGTCTACACCTCCCCTACCTTCCCTAAAGCCTTCTTCTTCATCTGTGACCCTGCTCTCTGTCTTATAATTTTTTTTTCAGTAATCATTCTACTATACACTTTACCAGGTATGCTCAATAGGCTTTTTTCCCTATAATTTTTACACTATTTTCTCCCCTTTGTCTTTATACATAGATTCTATGTGTGAAGGCTTACTCAGCACTGTAACAACTTCAGTCAGTATTACTAAGGCTGGCTCCTCCTCAGGAAAATTAATGCATAGAAAAAGAACAAAAACTGACAAACATAAACACTTTATTATTTAGGAAATATAAAATATAAAACATTTAAATATGA